CACAGAAGAGTTGAGCACCCACTGGCGTGGCCTGAAGGCCGCGTGGTCTAACCTAGGGTGGAAAAAACAGCAAAATAATTCCACGGCTATTTTAAGGTAGATAACAGTAAAGTTCCATCCATATGTTTTAATCTGAAATATTCCTTTAGAATGAAAGATAACCAGATTTTGGGATGTGTAGAGGAATTTCTAAAACAAATTGAGCACGTCAGAGCCCTAAATCTGTCCGGTAGATGAAGTGTACCCAAGGCAGCTAGCTAACACTAATTGCCAATTTTCTGTACTTAATAGTCCAGCAGTTCAATAGTCGGCGCATGTCCTCACGATTTGCCCAGTGGACTTGAAAGTTTCACACGCGTTAACTGGAGAGATGCAACATCCTGCATAGAGTAGAGATCCCTCATGTGTCAGAACAAGGAGAAGTCCAACAGGATTAAAATCGGAAACGTCTAAATTTTGCGGCGAAAATTTTAATTTGAACACTTCTGATACCCTTGTAATATTATGCCTTTGAGTAAGGTTGCATAAATAACAAGTCTCTTTTAGTATCAAAAACAAAAAGTAAAGAATTAAAAACTGTAGAACTGAACCCATGGCATGGAAATAACTCCATTAGCACTCACTTTTAAATTCTTTACGTGCATTAAATTGCCCTGTATACTCCAGAAGTCGTGTTTTTTTGGATACTTAAGCCAGAAATATACTCTCTCAATTCTGAGTATCATTTGATTTTAAGAATTTGTTCCAAAATACTCACACCCAAAGACTAAACATTTGATACTTTCAAATTTGAGCACTCATTCCAAAAAGGGTGGGGAAGGGGTAGCTTTTTAGTTCACATACATCACGAAAAGCGCAAACGAGCCTCTTTTACTAAAAGAATTCTAGCATTGTTGACTTGTGCCTAGGCGATCACCACCATCATACCGTAATTTACGACTCTGTAAAGTGACCCGACACAAATCAACTGTCTGTGCCGTTTCCTCAGTCCTTGCGACGGGTTTGCAGAGTGAAAGGATGGTTAGGAGAAGAAGCAGGAGACCCATGTAGACTACGGTTGCTGACAAGAGGATGCAAAACCAATCGGCGAAATCTTTCCACTCCACCTCGTCTGAGGAGAGCGTCTGTGGACAAGGCTCACCGTCTGGACATAATTGCACCTACAGAGACAGAAGGAGATAACCGATTTCAGGGTTTCGACTAAGTTTGCTGTCACTGTGTTGCGCAGTCACTTACTGCGAATAATTGCAGGTAAATGGAAGTTTATATTTTTTCAAGCAGGATGTCTCGAAAACCACACGGGAAATAAAAGCCCCTTCAAAGAATGAGAGTGGATTATATGAAGTGGAATTTTTTCGTACCAACAGCTTTATCGTTTAAGTATATATCAAGCCAATGCACTAGAAACAGGGCGTGAGAATGTGTGTAAATTCATCATCTTCGGCAAAAAAGTTTGCTTAAACAAGCTTTTGGATATACTTACACCCCTAAGAATGCCCATGAAGCCGTAATGCACCGTATTTAGCTTCTCTAGTAAACAATTGTTCTGTGCTTAGGCTGTTGTGAACTCCCATTTAATCAGTTACACCCTTGCCTACATTTTGCCACGATTCAAGTATTGACATCAACAGTGGCCTTTATCAAACTTAACCAGCCCAGACCTGCTCCACAGCACCAATACAGTCCTCTTCACGGTCACCGGAACAGACGCGAATGCGACGGCGGAGGCGTTGATTACCGCAGAAGGGCTCACAGGAAGTCCAAGCCGACCAGGTAGTCCATTCGCCCAACGCCTCCTCACACATCGACCCTGCGAAGCCCTCCTCACAGTCACACATGCTCCACGAACCGTCCTTCATGAAAAAATTAATCTATATCAGTTCATCTGTCAAACAAACCCCATTCAAATTTCATTTCATTAGTATTGCATTTGATTTGCATTAAAGGCAAAGAATCATCCTATTACAAACATGCGTGAGAAAATCTTGATATTTTCACCAGGACTCCTACAGATGCTTGAATAATGCCTTTATATGGTCCAATAATATGCTATTGATATGGTGGATACAAAGTTACGATTATTGAAAAGTAACATGACGCAGTTCTAGCCTAAATGTCACACGCAAAAGCATCATAAGCTAACTTTCTAGAATGTCATAATGTTACCAAGGTCACCGCATCTCTAATACAGTAGTCCACTCGCCTCTGAGGCGACACAGGCACCCTCAATGCATATACGACTAGAGCAGGGGTCTTTGCTTGAAAGACAATTGTCGTAGGGCAGTCCACGATCCATAGTAAAGCGTCCTTTGCACTGGCAGCTGAAGCTCGTGGTACCTAGGCGTGGAATGCACTTGTTCTCGGTACCACAGGCCTCGCGACCTGGTGGGATTATCGGTTTAGCACTACCCACCTCGAAGGAGTTGTACACCTCCGAACCAACCAGACAGGCATCCAACAGTTGAGAGCAGTCATGACCCATGTAGCCAAGGCGACAGACACAGGTTATTGTCGCTATATTTACCAAAGAAAGACAATACCTGGATACGTTTTATACCTCATAATAAGACGTAATTCTTCTAACTGAGTTTACTTGATTTCGTATCCTGTTCACAAGTCGCAGTTTGTGAGGGATGGCAGAATCTCTCGCACCGATTTTCGGAAATGCAAGCGAATGTGTTTCGGTCCCATGTGAATCCCTTTTGTTAAACAACCACAGCTGTCAGCGTACAAGGCAATAACAATAGCACGCGTACAAAGGACAAGGAGAGTAAAAGGGAATCCACACACGATATTTGCTGCCGAGTAAAATTTGTCCTGCACATTATCGTTCATTTCCAGCTCAACCAACATACTAATTATTCTACTTGTTTGTAATTTTTAATTCCACCTGAACATTGAAAACGACAAACTTGTGAAATACGTAGAGTTATAATGAAACTCATTCGATGAGATCAAATATTTAATAGATTCAGCAAAAATCATCTAATTTTTCTCACTTCAATGCATTCGCAGTCAAAGTCACGAGCATGAATTCCCAATGTTTTGCACGATCCGGATCGCGTAAATGGCAAGACAGAGCATGGACTCTGTGCACATGGCTGAGGGCATATCTGAAAAAAAAATTAGATTTGCATGAAAGTCCATAGTTCAAATGTGTCCTTTGTTTGCAAGGAACATGTTGATAATTGAAACAAACTGGACAGGTGCATAAGAGCGCATGCATCTCGAATAGAATTTCCCTCCTATTTGCTTAGATAGATGAAGACGACGTATGGATATATGGATGGATTAGTAGATAGATAGGTAGATAAATGATAATGTAGTAGTGGCATGGTTAAGGACGCCTCGACTGTCTGTCAAGGCTGGGAACTCTTCTAACCCTCATGTTTGGGTTTGTTCTATCCGCATGATTAATCCGCGGGAATGGGTGCAAGCATTAGATGGGGTGAAGTGATCACAGATGGATGGGTAGATGCAAACGAGTGGATTACCTGTCTGTCAAAGCCAGAAACGTTCCAGTAGACTGTGCACGCAGCGTAGATGTAGATAATGCTGACTTGTTCAACTGATCGGATAGGCCAGCAATTGCCGTGGAGATAGGGCACGGAGGCCTCAGTGGAGATATCGGGTGCCGATTTGGAGAGCTCAAAGAGTTCAAAGTCCATCTGCAGCGGTTGGGCCAAGTTGATGAAATGGGCCCATGAACAGCGGGGGAAGGTTATTTCATCGCAGGAACGCACTATGAGTAACCAATCCACCGGTACAGGCAGCATGGTATTGAAATTGGGCACCCTGACTTGGAAAGTAGGGTCGATTTAAATTAGAGATAATTAAGTAAAAGGAAAGAGTTAATGCTCTCTGTGTTAAGTTGGCAACAATTTCATCGAAGCAAAATAGATTAAGGGTTGCTTGGCAGCAGAAATTCAACCAAAATACTTACGAAATGCCTTATGTGAACTCCAATGGAAAAACCATAGTGTCGTTGGCATAAGTGATGACCCATATATCCCAGGCGGAAATCCATAACGAAAGTTTTTGAATTTGGGATCCTTAATATTATCAAAGGTGGTGAATCGGTAGGCATCAAACTTGCTCTGTTCAGGCAGCTTCAAGGCTAGATCGAGAAGATCCAGATAAGCAGAAGCGCCCGTCAATATTGAAAGAAATATGAGAGACAAAAGCATGCGCATTCAAGTGGGATTAAAGAGAAACTGCTGCATACAGATACCGATTATCGATTACTGGCTGCTTATTCAAATTCGGCCTAATCGATAACGTGATCATGATCTCATTCCTAACCTCACTCCATACTGATGACCTGATGGGACTCAGGCGGACGGTGCTGTCGGACTAGAGATTCCGACATTGGCCTACTAAAACTTCAGCTAAAGCACTACTGGAAGGATAGAAATGGTGGAAACGAAGATATTCACAATGGAGGAAGGAAATGGTTAAGATTCACTGTAAGGAATCTAAGGGAAAAACTTGGCGTGGTTGGACCCTTTACAGCGTGGTTCACAGAATTCATTTATTTGAAACGACCCTGGTATTTTGATTTTAACGATCAGAAATTCGAAGCTATTTAAAAAGTGGCAGACTAACTTCAGCCATACCTTCACTGTATATCTGCATTCCCATTCCCATTCTCCCATTCTCCGGTCACCTTTAAACTTAACATAATGACAGGCTACTAGTTTGTGGATGACACACACCCTGCCAATAAGAGTGATGAGCAAAGGCAAAATATTGCCAGTCCTAGACCTTTGCTTTTCCTCTTACCCGGTCAAGCTAATCACCGCGTAATGCGAATGGCTACGACCAGTGAGATGTTGGGTCTGGTGCACGCTATAAGATGCAGTGAAAAAAAAACTAAAGTGTAGGCTTTTGAAGCTGACTGACTGTTCACAAATTTGAGTTGACAGAAACCCATTCTAAAGTTGACGAGAGTCTCAAACTCAGAAGTAATTCGACGAAGTGAAAACAAAGAGGTGAGCATTGCAGAAACCGAACTTGATTACGGAAGCAATCAACTATGCAATTATAGTAGAGCAGAAAAACAAGGGTAAAGATCTCAAGCATCGTGGCAATCACGACAAACAATTGCATGAGTATTTCAATGGGAACAAAACCATCCATTCTTCTACTAATATTTACACGTGACAAATTGCCTGTGCCTGGAGGATGTGAACCGATACTTGTACGAGCCTATGGCTCAGAACAGCAACGACGACAACAAAAGGAAGGCAAAATCAGATGATAAAACAATTCGATTCAGTGACCTTTTCTCTTGATTGGAATGTCGAGGTTCTAATGATGCAAACACTACATTGGCAGTTGTGTAAATTACAGCCGTGTAAGCAAGCCAATCTTACAGGGTACCAATTTTATAACGACTACGAAAGATAGTGTAGAAGGGCATTTAAATTATCCACTTGACAAGACTACCATGATTAGTATCAATGACAACTAATACATTTGGTGTCACCTGAGGATCGAATATTCTGACTGAAAAGCATTGGTTGCTGTCAGTCTGAGCAAATTTGCTGAAAAAACATGGCATAAACAACGTCCTGACGTAGTACCACAATGCTACGCAAGCTTGCAGTCCAGCTCAGCTGTTCAAGGTTCGTGCTAACGTAAAAAATATGCTCGGTCTAGATTTGCTCCATTTAGAAACCGACTACAGTTCTGGGGAACTTGGAGAGCAGTCCAGTTGTAGATGATACTTCCATGCACCGAAGATATTTTAATCAACGTTTGCATAATTTTTCCAATTCTGATTCTTCTGGTTCTAGCACAAATTCTAGTACTTCTGACTGTTACTGATGGCAAACCTGCTGCAAAAGGCAAATCCGACTGAATCACAGGAGGTGAGAACTTTATAATTGCTCAGAGTACACAAGAAGCGCCACCGCAAAACTACGCCGTTAACTTATATTGCGAAAAGTGGTTAGGTTGGCATGGTACCTGATACATTGCTATTACTTCAAGGCGATGTTGTAATTACGCAGTTAGCTGAGTACACTATACAATAGGGTTCTTGTTACACTGAATTTCTGATTTCTACTTCGTTAAAACCATTGCTGGCTTTACTATCTCTTCATTCGTAAACAAATAAGTGTAATGCAATAGTGGTTTATCCCTCGGTTTTGGTGAGGCGCGACTCTTGTACTTTGAATTAGCCCCCTTGTACCCGGCTGGGTGGCTGGCCTTTCGGGCCATGCCAATAGCCCAGACACATTCTCTGTGCTGAATATATGTATTCTGTCCGAGTATTTCGTCTTCAGGGAGTCTCGGGACGCTACATAAGCCATAAGTTCTTGACTAATGCACAATGGAGTTTGTATTTTATCGCTATATACCAAATCACTCAAAAATTTTTCTAGAAAATGGTTAAAAATGTTTTTTTTCCTTAAATTAAACAGACAATTCTAATTTCATATTTTGGTAACGTTTCCACTGGCACCGAAATATAAAGTACTAAACTTTCGCTATAGTACAAACATGGTAAAAGTTATACAATCGTAACAATGTCTTTCTAAAGTCACCCTATGCCACAGTGTATGTATATTTGAAACTTCGACTCTCTGTGCTTTAAATTGCTACACTCCAGGGGAGGTATTCTAAAAAGTTCGATCTTACTTTCAAGGTGATTCTGGGTATGTCGGTAGAGGTGGGGTCCAACCCTTTCCGACCCGATGGTGAACTAAGCAGGGAAGCCGAAGACATTATTAAAAACTCAACTATATTGCGTGATAAGGTATCATTTTCATTCATGTCATTTTTATAAAAAGTGGTAAATACATACTGTAAAGCGTCTAACATACATTTTTTCAAGGAGTCCTAGGTCATTCCAGACCAAACATTATTATTCGCTTTAATAATTTCACAAGTATATTTACGGTGGTAATTGCGGAGTGTTTTGTTACATGGTGGTTTTAATTCGATTCAGGTTATCATAAATGATCCCTCGATGAGGCGTCCAGAAAACGGCATTCCTCATTCTCTTGAGAGTCCCCTAAAAGTCGAGTCGACCTCACAAGGTAATGAATCTGCACCACTGTGCGAGGGTAGTCCTATTTGGACGGGCGAGGTGGTATCCGGTCAGATTTCCTTCCCAGTGACGGAGGAAACTGTGGCGGCTGCAGACGGAATGCAGCCAATGCTTCAAGTCGAACATGTAAAGATCAAATCAGGGCCTGCAAACTGCTGCTTGATTCTGTAGTGAGCGCTTACCTTGACCTTGCGCCGTTGTAAGTTGCTATATTTTTTTCTATACACTAATAAATAAACTTGCACTAATATAAAGTTGGGTTTCCTTTTTGTATTCCTCTTATTGCTTTTCAACTTTACTGGCAAAGCTAGTCACCGATTTAGCTACTTTAAACGCTAAAACTAATAAATTATGCTTAAGCCATAAAACAATCAAGTAGGTGAAAGGGGATCCTTTTGAAGACATTCTTCATCACTGCAATTTACGGTGGTAACATTCAACCAAAGTATAGAAGCTTTTTACCTCCTGTTTTGTAATTCAATTACGCTCTCAGGCAGTGCTGTTTTTGAGGCTAAAAAATTGTTTTTTTTTTGTTTTTTGAGGCTAAAAATGTATCTCAGAACAAATTGCTGTGCCCTGTATAATGATGGTACTTGCTATTTTTTCTGCCTTGATTAGTCAGATCGTTAACTAAATGCTGTAAAATGAATCCTATTTGTTATGAGTTGTTTACGGTTGAAGTTCAAGGGTCTATTTTTGTAGCCACTTCTCTGTGCATCATGGTTTGAAGCTTAACTATGCCTCGACTCTTCGCTTTAGTGTGTCCGTGACGTGCAAACGATCATGTACGTGGTTTTATTTGTGCGAAGTCAGTGCACTTAGATTTGTCCATGGGAAGTACAAACAATTGGAATGTTTCCCAGATGTAATGGTCTTTCATTGTTTTTATCGACACTCTTCCCTTGAAAGCTTCTTTAAACCTGCGTTATCCAAGCCCCAAAAATGCATGGTGAACCGTTTTATTTCTTTTTTCGTAGTCACTGCATTTACCTGTGATTTTTCTTATGTGACTGTAAAATGATGGATTAATGGCGTCTTATTTGTGATTGTTGACTTCAAATATTAATTACCATAAGTTTTAGATGTAGCCCTACCCGACTCCCTGGTTTATTGCAGATGTGTGGATGTGTTGAAATTGCTCTTCTTTCACTTCAATCACTTTGATAAACGCTTCATGTTTCAAGCTGGCTGAGTAAAATCGATTAGTATGTGTTTATTTGCAGAAATTGTTCGCGGAAAGTTTAATTAGAATACGTATATGATGCCTTTGACATACGAGCAGGCGCCCACGAGGATCCTCGTTCCTCCGTTTTTAACCCCATCAGGGCGTGCGAATTGCCAACTAGTTAGACAAGCAATGGATGCAAGTAGCTTTTTGGGAGTTGAGGCAGCTGATGCAAGTCGCTGTAGTTTTATGTGGCCGATTGGAATTGTTGTAGTGTCATGCAGCATCTGGTTCAGGGCAACCTTAAATTCATTACAGCTGCAAATGCAATAACGTGGCCTTTTTAGGCGCCGTGTGCAATTCGGTGATCCAATTTTGGTACTTGGATAAACAGTAAGCGGATACATTTTACGCCAGCTTAGTATTTGCCACTTTTCAAAACCTTCGATTTTGATTCGTGCGTCAGATTAAACAATTTCTATTCTAGAAGTATGCACTTTTTGGCAATAAGCGATTTGTGTGTGGACTACCCCTTTGACGCTTGATTGGTTATTTTGTATATTACTGTCTTCCTCTTTCGATTGCAGATTTGTAAATTTCACACTGATTGTGTGCTTTTGACGAATTTCCATGCATAATTTTTGACCGTGAGGGAAGGGCTAACTTTCTAGTTGCACACTTCTTCGTTAGTTGGGTCAATCCTCATTTTCATTTAGTCCCCCAATAATGATGGGGGTGCGTGGTTTGTTAGCCGATGCCGTCAAGCGCTCTGCAACTTTTGGATTTTCTATTTATTAAGGAAGCTTCATAGAATAAAAATCGGGATTTTCATCACCGTCCATAACTTTTTCTAAATTGGTCAATAGATGTTTGCGATGCCTTGCTACCAGATTTTTTCGTCAATATCAGCGTTATCGGAAGAGAGATGAATAGTGAGATTTGTCACAAAACCACTAGAATTGCCTTGCCTCTCTTGTGATCAGTTGAGCCTGGTACAGGAAACATTGAAGCACATGAGATAGCATGGGCACGCCTGGTGGTTTTGCTTTCACCATTATGGCAAAAAACGATTTCAGACTCATCTGATCGTGCTCTTTCCCCCTGTCTCCTGTATGCAATCGCACGGATTGACTTTGATCGGTCAATATAACAGGCCTTTCCCTCCTAGAGGTCATTTAATACCAAGTTCGGAAGCTGAAGAGGACTTCTTTAGCTGAAGGTACATGGATTACCGACTTCACTTTCTCGAAATCAATTCCACTCAGTGCTTTCAGTAAACTGAAATTCTAAATGAACTAAGGCTAATCTGTTGTGAGTATGTTGTTGCCTTTTACATCCCGCCTTTTTGATAACTATGACACTGAGGATGGTATCTTCTACTCCAATTTTGACGGTTTGTTTTCACTTAAGATAAATTCTATGGCACTTTATCAATCATTTGTATGAAGCTAGTTTTTTTAATCTGCTTCATTAGTCAGGCTAGGTGAAACAAATAGCCTTGGTAATTGTCTCACTTAACACGCATTTCGAAATAGCGGTTTAACAAAAGGTATCTCTCTGTGGATAATAGTAATGGTGATAATCTTGGCCTGCTTGCAGATGTATTCGGGCAGCCGAACATTTGCACAAAGATTAGGTGGTATATTTTTTGGTCGTTGCTATCCAGGATACAGGCACGCACTTCGACTCTTTTAAGTCCGCCTCTGAACATCTGGTTGTTTTCTGCTTTGTGCTTTGAAAAATGGTTCAATTCCAACAAAAATCTTCAGATCGAGTTAACATTGCTGTTTTTGTTAATATTTCGGGTGATTTGAAGTAGACCGAATGGGATGTTATCCGTGAACTTGTTGGATTACCATTTTTTTGTGTTCGTTTTCAGCTCATTACTTAGGGCTGTAATGTTAGCATTTTAGGTGATTCGCATCAAGACTATCTGATTTAATGCTTTTTGTGAATAAGTAAACACTTACGTAATTGCAATGCACATGCGATTTATGTGCTTTACTGACCCTGATGTAATAAAACCGTCCGGACCAATAACTTTGTACCGGTTGGTGGTTGCAGTGTTGTACTACCAATACTAAGTTTCTATAGTCAATATTCGGTGCTTTTCCAGAAAAATCAGCCGCACGTCCCTTTCAGATGACCGAAATGCCTGTGAATAGAAGTGATTGATGGGTTAATGAAAAAATACCTATTTTTTGTTGTCACATACCAATTTTTCACCTTTCGTTGGATGCTCTGCAGTGCTTACAGGGCAAAGTCGAATGTTGTCAGGTCCATAATAAACGTGATAGGAAAAGGTTTTTACCATCACAGTCGCCTAGTTTAGTTGTGACAATACTGATTGGTTAAAAACCAGCTGTTCACTGGTGCGAAATTCACCTTCATGGTTGTTGAATTTCCAGCACCACCTCTCTCTACCCGTTGGGACATTTGCATCTCTTCAATCCCAACTTGACCATGTAGGAAGTTATGGCTGGAGATGGTTGCGCCTTATCGTTCATTTACTCTTGACTTTTTTGCTCTGCTTCCACCCTTCCTTCCGTTGGGAAGTGTGACTTAGCGGGAACAAGATTTCTATCCATACTGTCACATCAAAGGCTGCTGCGACTCAGGCACGGCCTCCATCTTCTCCTTTTTCCGGTGGGAGAGAAAGCGCTAACGCTTGTAGTACAGTGCAGCTTGATTGATTTAACTTGCGACTTGGTGGGGCTACTCCATTGCATCACATCCCGTATGGGCTTTATTGAAGTCAGTGTTTGAATCTTAACAAGGCTTTGATTAGCCTCATTGGTTTATCGCGAACAACTTTGTCTGATTACCTTGAACCTTCTAGGTCCTAGACTCTCTTGTGATTACTTTAGTAGACTCTAATCGTGGTCCTCTCTTGTAAGAGAATAACAGAACACAAATGTTAGGCCGATGACTAATTCGAACGATTTGTGTTGCATACAGGGCGGTGGATGGCGAGCTTTTGTTTATTGGCGTTTCATGAAATGAATTGACTGACCTTCTCGTAGTTGTGTTTTTTCCGAAATCTACGCTCTTACATTCTTCTTCAGACTCTTCTGTGTTGCTTATAGTAATTATGTGTTTTATCATTTCCATGCATGTACATATATGCGATTCACTAGGTTACTTGAGAAGCCCCTGCGGTAATTCCATTGAGGCAAACAAAGTTGTCTTTATCCATGCCTATAGATACTTTAAAAACGTGTGGCGATTTCAAATTGCTTAGTGAGTTAATCCTGGAATTTTTGTTTTTCTGTTAAGTAGGATCTACTCTACCTGAACTGAGTAGTTTGTCCACCTGTATCTGCTACCTTTGGTCCGACAGTATTGATGCACATAAAACTCCTTTTTCTCCACGTGAACGCCCTCTGAGTCAGTCGACTGTCATTATTTATTCAGCTCCTTGCCCGCCCTAGCAAGACAATAGCAAGGGCAGTGTAACATTAGCATTTGTTTCCGGCATACGCTCGGAGGTCAGAATTATGTTGTTCAGCACAACTCACCGTATGCGTGCTTCATCTTGATTGTTCTCGAACTTGTCAATCTGTACACTGTGCCTGCTTTGCCGACTCGACTCCCGGGCTAATTTTATCTTCTTTTGTAGTCTTTGCTACTTCTCACATCATTTCCCAGTTTGTTTTTAGAAAGCATGTTTTAACTACTACATCAGCAAGACCGTCCCCTTCGTACTACTCCATTTGGAAAATTTGTGATGGCTAGCCGCTTATTGTGTAAATTCATGTTTCAATCAAAACGCAACTTCTGCTTGTTATTACGGAAAGAGATTTTAAGTTACTACCATTTAAAGTCCTTACAATTTTTATTTTATCTTTTACGTTGATGAATTAGTTTACGCGTCCTTAATGAAGCATGAAGGTGTTGGGCGACTGTGTTTTGACTTTGTTTACATAATCCACCCCTAAAATCGACGTTTGTCTTCAATGCATTAATGGAATGATCACCTGTACACTCAGTGAACCAAGCACCCGAAATATGCTATTATCGTAGCACATTCTTGTCAATATTGGCTTGTTCCTCTAGTCCACGCCTTACCGACATTCCTGCCATGCCTATTGGAAGCAAGCGATCTAGTTCAAACTGAGTTGGAATAAAACTAATGCACCTTGCAATCATTGGTCTTCGCGTTCAACTTGGCATTTAATGATGTGAGCCCCTGTTATCTCGGGATTTGCATTCATTATCGACTTTTTACCTATTAAAATGTTAGTAGCAACCTCATTTTTGCATTATATTTACATTGTTAAACAGATGTGATGGGCTGGACTGGTGGTGCACCTTTCAGTCTTCACTACTTTCTCTTTAGCTGCGTATTTTCGACTACGAGAAAACCATCAAATTATTCTCGTCCTGCCACCTAACTGGCAAATACTTCTTTTGCGTTATCCCGGCCTCTCATCCATTCACCCACACATGTATCGGTTCCTCACCCCTCAACCTCCCACTCCTAGCCCCGTTTACTGTAACCCCACTGTATATACACACAAATAATGTGAATCTTTTGCAGAGGCTGAAATATTTTTCCAAGCTTTTGACACATCCACCTTCGTCCAATTCACCACTTCCTGGTGGAGAAAAGCACCTACGCACTTGCCACTCCTTTGATCGGCAATTTTTTCACTCTCCGTGGCTACTTTTTCCCTGTCAGCCATTATTCTCGCTCTTCCAATTATACAATTCCTTCGCCAGGACATTTTTCTGCTCATTAAGTAAAAAGTGTGACGAACTCCCGTATGTTGTTCAGGATCGGGACATTGTGTTAGAGCCAACATCCAGCGGTAACTAGGCTTCATGACGTGCAGCAGTATTTCGTGCACGGTCCAAGCCTTGACGACTAACATCAACCACGTGGACAAAATTCGTTGGCCGTCTTGTCGCATTTGAGTAGTAGCAGGCGACATCATTCACCGCATGCGGCACGTAGACCCCGCACCGAATACAGGAGCATTTGTATACACGCCCTCCAGAATACCTTTCACGCAGACATGTCATGAATGGTGGCGCCGTACTGTTTCAAGCATTACGCATTTCCGGTTCCAACTAATCCAGGTTGAACAAACGAAACTTTCTACAAAAGTACGAGTCCTTATGTCATGTTACAGTGCAAGATAGTAGTTGATACACACGGTTCGGTTTACGCCAAATTGGCCCAATAAAAGTCGGGAAATTCGAATTGGACTGCATCAGTAACAGGGTAAGATACCATTATTAATGCATACTAAGAGTACAACGCCAAGTGTCTGCAAGCCTTTTTTAAGTGTGTGCGCATGTATGTATGTATAGAGACGAAGTGTTATGTACAGAGAGAATAAAATGTGCGTTTCCACAATCAGGCGCGAAATCTTAATTTGCAGTGAAGAGATAGGCAGGGAGTGAGAAAGACATGAGTGACCGAGGCAGGAAGAGCAGAGGTGGAGAATGAATGGAGGTCACATATCCGTCGGCCCCTGGCAGGGCGAAGAGGGGTCATGGCTGGTGGGTGGGGCCGGAGAGTGAGCGGTGTTCTGACTCTGTCGTCGTCTTCGGCGAATGCGCACGAGACCAGGACTAGCCGTTTTTGATGCCGAAGTGGAGGCTTGCGCCGGGATGTATCGCGGAGCAGAGATCTACGGTATGAGATATTACGCTTTTATGATAAACATGCCTTAGTAATCGAGTTCAAAGAGCTTGCGTCAGCGAGACCGGGGGTGAGGAGAAAACACGTCTTCGCGCGGCGTTGGACGCATGAACGTAAATCACGCAAGAGAATTCCTGAAAATTGCTATGGCTGAATGTTCAGCAAGCCCAAAATGTCAAAAACGCAATTGAAAGTCCGGGTCGCTAGCTGGACTGGTTAAGTGGAAAAGTGGCTTACGCATTGTTTATTCAGTCCCTGGGCTTGAGTCCCCCCCTAAAGCAGTGTTTCAAGGCGAAAAATAAGCCGAGTTACTACCACATCTTGAGTTATCAACAAAGGTTCATTGCATGCATCTATTTTCGAAGCGTCGCCGTTTCAATGCACCCTACGAAGAACGAAGTAGACGAAATCACGTGGTACACCATTACTGAAGTCAAGTATTTGTTTAGGTTGATTTCAATGCCATAATTACTTCATTTTAGGAATTCGGATACGTGAAGCGTTAGCTTGCTAGCTGATCATCATCTGTCAGTAACAAAATGGAGTCCGAGTTTCATTGGGAGTAGCAAACAGAGGAGTTAGGATGCATACGATTAGGCCTCAATGTGCCTTAGCAAAAACTGAGCCAAAAAATTCAAGTCGCTGGCCTTCCAGCTTCCACTGGCGAAATGTGGAAATGCGAGGGGACTGCATGCGCCCTCTCCCTTGTAATCACTTGCCGGCTCCAGAGACGCTCAAAACCGCCCCTATTTACATTAGAGGGAGCAAAAAGCACTTACGTATTTCCCATACAAACAGCCATTTCATCCCAGTGTAAAAACTATGGCTGATGTGTCTACAACCCTGGGCTCGACGGTTTACCAGAGGCGGTGTAACAATATCAAACGAACAAATAAACAAGATGTTGTGGTCATCTTACGCCAGGTGCCGGTATGTGGGAGGTGGAAGCGGGTGCAGGCGCGGTCATGGGGTTCGTGGAAAGGGGCGGGGAGACACAGAGGGTGGGCTTGGAAGCGCTCTCGGGCTCGTCGAAGGGCGCGGGGCAATAGGAGTGTACCACAAGGGGACTGTCGGAACGAGAGCCCGAATGACCAAGCCTCTCTCCCTCCGTGGACAAGGAACTCGGGGAGGTCGAGGCGGCCTCCAATTTTGCCGCGCCTGATGCATAGCGGTTGCGCTCACTCAGCTGGCGAAACAGGGGTGTCTCTGTTGGCCTGAAGTAGGAAATACACGACTTCAAGGTAGAGTGCTAGCGGCATACGACAAATTTAAAAAATGCACCCAGTTGTAGACCGTGAAAATGGATCTCATTAAAACCAGGTTATATCACAGAGGCTTCACTTAATGTTTGACGGGGTAACAATATTCACCGAAAGTAAATCTAAAACCATGTACCAACGACCAAGTGCTCATTACAAGAGAAGGAGTGCGCCCGAAAAAATGAACGCTAAAACGCAAAACAAGTTTTTGGAACGTAAAATTAAAAAAGCACTGCTTAATGCCGGGCGTTGGATAAAGTTGCGCAGTGATGTCTCCATGCTAACGCTTAACACAACAATGAGAACCCAAACATCTAGCCGAGTAAAGACCCGAAGAAAGAGAGGGGGAGGGAAGTGTACCAACCATCACAGTTACTAACAGGTGAAATTTGCAACAAATAACGGCACCAACGCGTTTCCATGGCCTAATCACGCTCCTCACAAATAATAACATGAAAAGTGCGGTGGGTTCCCATCGCACCATCGCTAAGAGTACTTTATGGCAAACCTAAGTACACTTTGTTCTATTTTAATTTGTATCATAAAAGAAAAGGAATGCATAAATTACCTGCGCGGTTGCAGATGCAGTCGGCTTGAGACAGTGGTGGCATCGAATCGTTTGGTAGAGGTGGAGAGAACAGAAAAGCTGTGGCTATGATGTCTTGATGACTCATCCGTAGGTCCAACTAGCTTCCGACCAGAGGCTAGGCCAGACGGCGTCACTTCAGTAGGTACCTGCTGTCTGTGTCGCTGTCTGCGTTCAATCACAAGCGGTGGACCCTGCGTCCCTGGGCTCTGCACATTCGCGATGTTGGGGACGCGAAGCGGCCCGGAACCTGTCGAACCTGTGTGCTTGAACAGACGTCGACCACCACCGCTCTCCAGGCCACTTTCCTCACCTGAACTGGCCGCTTTGGAGGCCCTAGAAACCAAAGCCTTAAGTCGTCGACTCGGACGTGAGACCAGACGACCACGAGCGCGCCATCGCCCATCCGAACGGATGTTGCTCTGTGCGAAAGTTGTTACGAGCAGTCGGAGAGGCGCCGGAGAGGAGCAGATGAGTTGCACAATCTCAATGTGCAGCCGACCCACAACCTCACGCCCATTAACTCGCAGAATGACGTCGTTCTCACGCAGTCCAGCAGCATACGCGGGACCCTTTCTGTCGACACCCACAACAATGTGGTGCAGAGTGTAGACGTCCGAGGATCCGAAGAAAACGTCCTTGGCACGGAGAGTGAAACCGTAGCCACGAGGTCCGCGTTTGATGGTGACCGTGCGAGAAGCACTGGAATTATCGGAAGCCCGTAGCATGCTTGCAGAGGACGACTTTATGGTGGTCTGGGAGACGATGGTTCCGGGAACAAGGGAGCGACTAGGACTGGTTGCTTTCCGTCGGCAAGGAACCGGTAATTTTGACGGTTTCGTCTCCTTCTTAATGCCCGGCACTGAATATACCTGAGTAGATGAGGGCGTATTTTCTGAGAAACTGTCCGGGCCCGTGGGTGAGCCAGCTGGGGACAATCGTTTGGCCTTCTGTTGAGAGCTGTTGTCACGACGATGAACATCTTCGTCTGTGCATTCTTTCAAAGTCTTGAAGCAACCAAATAGTAACGGTTAGTAATATTAGTTAGAAGGCACCAAAGGAAAGACTACTATACCAGGAAAACGAAGTAGCTCGCTTAGGCAATGCGGGGCATTTTTCGCCAAAACCGCTTTCACAACACGACAACTTAATTATATAGATAAATTTGTTGTACTTTGAAATCGAATAAACTTATGTGACTGGTTCCAACAGCTCAAATATTGAAACGTAGCAATTCAAACACCAACATTTTTATCACGAAACAAGTGCGTCAGTTTGTCTTTCACGTTTTCGGCTTATAGTGCTAGGATAAGTCATCCCATGGTGTGGGTGTTTTGAATACGTGCGTGCGTGCGCGTATCGCTGATTTGCCTAAGTTTTCAAGACTCGATTAAGATGAGCAAAATCATCTTTGGTTTTAAATCTCAAGGCTAAATTCAGTCCCTTAAGCGGCAATCATACTAATATTGCAGTTGGAGCGCACCATGAAGGCATAACACAGGCTTGTACTATTGAAATCTACCTTTGGCAAATGCACAAATGTGATAAATCACAAACTGGAATTCCAATCCTTCGATATACCCAAAAGAAAGTGTTGGAAAAATTCATCGAAACGTTGGGATGCGTAACAATAATACACGTAAAGCAGATATGAGAAGTTATTTTTGAACACATATAATTACATTACATTTGTGCCTATTTTATACTCCAAGCAAATCCAAAATTGTAAAGACGAGCCTTGACGTCAAACCTACCCGCTTCTTGGTCGTGAAGGCGTTGGAGTTGCTTGAAGAGTTCTCACAGGGAGCGGACGAGACTCCCATTTCAAGATCACTGTAGCAGGCATCAGAAGCAGCGGTACTTGTGGGGGTGAGTGGAGAGGGTAGTCGGGGGGATTGATTCGAACCACTCTGCTCCCCATCCAAATTCCCTGACTTTTTAGGAGTCAATGAGGCACCCTTCTAAGAATCAGAACGCAATACTAATGAGAAATGAGACTGAATTGCTTCTCAGCATCTAATAAAATCAAAAAGATCATTTAAAGTGAGAACTTCTCGCCAATGCTAGTAAGCAGCTTGGAGTCATAACTAGAAATGTAAATTAGGCTAAAAAACGCACATTTACAAAGGAATAATTTGAAGAACACCATGTATCAGAACGTATCAAATTATGCACAGGGGGTTCGCATGACCGCTACGCACAAGAACCATGCGTTTTAACCTGTCTTACACAATTGTAAACCACAACCCACACACAGAAACATAATTAGCCGCAATAACGTAGCAGCCGGGGTATAGCATGCGACTCCCCAATGAAACTGCTAATCGTAAACGATGTTTGCGCAGTGATTGCAGCACTGAGCGAGCTAGAAGGACTGAAGACTCTTAGACCCTTTCCTACTCAATCTCAGCAAAGGAAGAGGAATAGAAAACGCTCATATTGTGCTAGTTCGCAAAAAGGAAATAACTTTGCAGAGTTGGAGTAATTCCCTTAATTGGCATAATGATCCTCTACCGCTTTTATGGACCAGACCGCAAACACAAAGACGCGAGTAGGTAATGGTGAAAGGCATGAAATGAGGCGTAATATTATCCAAAAGTGAAGCGATATGGCGGCACACGATCGAAAGGAGTTATGTAGAGAAGATAAATTGGTAGCCAAAAAACTATGTTGGCGGAAAAATCACAAATACATGGCAACACCGGTTAGGAGGCAAGAATGCAAACAATTTGACTATTAAAATTATGGGTTGGGTAAAAATAGTATTCAAACGGTCAGAATATACTAGGTGCAGGCAATAATCATAAGTGGGCGCCAAACCATAACCCGTTTGTTTTCAAAACGCTCTGATAGAGTGGCAAGGTGAAAAAAATAAAGCATCAAAGCGATGTTCTGTTTACTATAGTTGCACGCAATTAAAATAGTTTGTAAAAGGCAGCACATTGATACGGCTTTGATATAACCTACCATTGAAAATTCGGCAGCAACCAGTTGGATAAAACATTGTCTTCAAATTTATTAAAAACTAAGTTAACACCACACGATAAAAGCGCTCAACTTGTGCGAATGTGACACCTTTACCACTTTAAAGGTATACATAAAAATCAAGATATCAGACCACTTCCGGAATCTTGATGAGAAAGCATGAAGATTCGCAGATTGGCTGCAGATTATGGGCTACTTGGGTAGATTCATTGTTTGACTAATCAAACATACTGATACACTTCAATCTATGCTAAGTGGTTTGCAACTGACATTAGGCTTTAAGAAAAGTGAGCCAGACGACTTTGGATTTTAAGCCCAGCACACCAGATTCTTTCATAAACAAAGGCTAAAAAGTTACTAATTTTGAGGCTTTATACTGTACCACTTGTCCCAGTGGGAGTGAAAATGAGTGATCCTAGATAACTAGGGATTCACAAAGAAAGTGTGTAACGCCTAACCTCCTCCGCAGTTGAGAATTTATTGGTAGGGGTTATTTCCTCCTGCCCAGCTGGCCCATCTCCATCCTCCCGCATTTGTTCCTCACCAGATTCCCCTTCTTTCTGCGAAGTCTCCATTGCCGCCTTCTCCATGGCTATGGAGAATCGCGGAGTGCAGGAGGTGAAGGCATGGAAAAGCGCCTCATCGGGCAGCTCTTCGCTCTCCCTGCTGCCACCGCCACCACCACCACCACCAGAAGACGTTCCAGCTAGGCTTATGGCACAGTGCAGTCGCTCCGCAGTTTGTCGCGCATCTGCAGCGGTAAGCGTCGCGTTCACCTCCTCACCGGGAGTCACAACCTGACCCAGATCCGTCAACTTTTCCTTTGACACCGAAATCGAGCACTCCGATACCACAGAGCTAGCGGATGACGGAGGGGCGCTGGGGGGACCAAGAGAGGAGTGGAGAAGCTCGAAGTCAAGGTCCTCATCGTCTTCCACCTCGTGCTGATATCGATCGGTGCGGGGATCGAAGTAGGAGCAATCTTCATCGTGTTCCAGCTGTGGCACGAAAGCGGCCTTCTGGTAGAGGAGGTTGTGCCAGTCCACACCCTCGAAGAAGGGGGCAGCCTTAACTTCTGCGGCACCCGTTTCTGTACCCAAACGCAGCAGGGGATCCCGCTCGAGGAGTTGGGTTATCAGTGATGTTGACTCCGGCGAGAGACAACCCTCCTCGTCCTCAGCAGGCAATTCAATTGGACCTAGTTTAGAGAACCATTAAAAATAACTATGTTCCCAAACCAACGGACCATTAAATACATTACAAAGTCGATTCTAGCCCGTACCACTTTTAGAATGTTGAATTACATTAGTTATTTACAGTTCAAATGCTCGTCATACGAAGATATGGCTTCCGGTACTGTCAAATAGAAAAATGAATAATGTCGCAATGCGACCAAGAAAAAAGGGAATTAGCTTAAGCTGTTCCTTGATAAAAGCACTTGCATTTAAAATATGAAAAGGCAAATAGGGGTTTACAGGTGTGACGAAGTAGCACCCAAGTCAAAATGGGTAAGAGCAACAAAATTGCAGAAATATGAATACCATAAATTGCAGAATAAAAGCAGTAAATAATGCAAGAAAGTAAAAATAAGCTGCGTATTCTACACCCCGAGGCTTGCATGCAAGCACCCAATTCTAAATTAGCGTGGTGATTGAATCACTCTGTATTTTAATGTAATCTATGGTTTTGCAATTAAAAAGATGGTTCCGTATACCAAACCTACTTTATTTTATGTTTATCACCGCCATGAAAGTAAGTACAGAAGTCGACTTAAAATTGAGGGAAATTATGCAAAAGCCTATGTTAACTCGCCTCAAGGATTCTACGAATGCAGAAATTCAGAGTTTAAGCCGGGTGTACTTGTAGTCACTACCACGATCATGCACTCAGCATTAAATCTGTGTGATAAACCGCTTTTGTGAAGATAAGCCATGCTATCAAATGTCACTTGCCAGAGACAATTTGGGTGAAAAGTTCTTCGATGGTTTCGCCAAAAAATGGCACGCATCCAATGAGAAATTCGTAGAGAATAATACCAGAGGCCCACCAATCCACGGGTTTGCCTGAATAATAACAAACATAAGGCAAGAGAAAAATGTATTTTTCTAGCAAAAAACACAACAGGGAGTTGGGACAGCTCATGCTATGCTTGGAAGACATACGCATGTGCAATTTAACATATTGTTGATGACAGTACATCAAGTAATGGGGGTATTATGTAATCGTGATAATTTTCATATTTGTGCTACAGTAATGACATTAGGGATTGACTGAGGCGCAGCGACTTACACCCGCCTCTGTTAGCGTCAGGATTACTTACTACCGAATATTATAAGGCGAAGATAAGACTTGGCAAGGGATAGAAATGCTTTGCGCATCCATAGCACAAAAAAGTAGAGCAGCTAAAGCAAAGCGAAGTGAGCTAGCATACGACATACCATGAGTCAAATCCAACTAATGTGTGTGCTATGACAAACTCAAAGGTATAACAGGCGACCCTCTATGGGGTTTTAATGTGATCTTAATTCAAATTCTAGAAATATACCAGATTGACGTTAGCGGCGTTTGGATACATCACCATTCGCGCATGGCTGAACATGCGGAAATAGTGCTTGAGTCGTAAATGGGGAGCGATTCTTGATAGTTTTGGGTTTAAGAATAATTAGGAGGACGGATATAAATTTGACAACAACTCTAGTGGCAAATAAGCAGACAGTCTAGATAAATAAACAAAAATATTCCCAAAAGATCTTTTGACTAACCATAGCCCTGTCTGAGGATGACTTCAGGTGCGATGTATTCCGGGGTACCGAATACCTGTTTGTCTCGAAACATTTTACAGTCCTTTTCAAGATCAAGACTGCGTTCGTAGAAGCTAGTTGCCATATTCATCAGACCAATACGAGAAAGTCCAAAGTCAGTTAGTTTGATGTGACCCTCGTGAGTTATGAGTAGACTAAAACAGAAGAGTGCAAAGCACTTTTGGACAGGAAGTCAAAAAAATGATCTAATTCATAGTGGATTAAATATTTATAGTCAAGAGAATGGCATCGGCAAAGTCTGCTGATACGATTAACCTCATAATAAGGACCAAGGTACTACATGCCATAGGATGAAATCGTTGAGAGAGATGCAGTGACGATTACTGATGAATCAGCCGTAGGTGTCAACTGACAAGTCGGGTTTAGCTAAGGACACTGATCTTATTAATGTGACTGGGTCGTGAAAAAAAAACGAAAGTGATCATGCGGAAGGGGAATTTCAACTATCTTAAACAAGGTAACCTCAAGTCAAGGACTTACTTATCAGGCTTTAAGTCACGATGCACAATGCCATAACTGTGCAAGTACTCCAAAGCCAGCACCAGTTCAGCGAAATACATTTGGGCCAAATCAAGGGGGAGAGGTCCGCCAATGTTCTTTAGCAGTGCGGCCACATCTCCACCCTCAACGAATTCCATCACCATGCAGAGGCTCTTCTTCGTCTCAAAGGTGCAGTAGAGGCTCACTACAAAGGGATTATCAGCAAACGAGAGAATATCTCTCTCGGCAAACACCTGCTCCACCTGATTTCGCAGACGCAAATGCTGCTTCGGCATCTTCTTCATACCATACCGCTGACGGGTTATTCGATCACGCACCAGGAAAACGGCCCTGAGGAGAAATACGGCAAAGTATTTTAATAAACTGCATAGCAAAAGGATAAAAATTCCACCACTCTACACAAATCCAACAAAATTGGATGAAAAGCATTTGTGACACGATGATTTGTCTTGCAAGGCAAACTTTTACTAAGAAATAAGTTTGGGAACAAGTGCCATTCGGTTCTTCCCCATTGACAGGAGAACAAAGCAAACCTGAGTGTTTGTCCTGCTCAAGTCTGTCAACTTGTGATATACTTATGAAATAAATAACCACGGCTACACTGTGACGTTGGTGTGTACTTCTAGCCTGATTCCGAAGTGATACTGAAATACAGATCAAAAGCAAATGCTTACCCATACGCGCCATTAGAGATGAGTTTAATGATTTCAAAGTCTGACTCGCAGGGCCTTGGCCTGGGTAATGGAGACCCGGTCGTCTCTGTGGCAGTGATGAGTGGGGTAGTCATGGAGCTAGCCAGCTCCGTTGGTGCGATGGCTGAATGCAGCGGAGCGGAGAGAACAGAGGCCTCCAAAAAGTTGCCTGTGCCTGTGGGGGTGGGCGGACTGGAGACCACGCGGTCACACTGCTCCTCATCCGTCAGACCTAAGCGTAAAAAGCAATCGTTAAGTAGTTAGTTGAAAAGAATCCGATTGGGGTTTTATAACAGCAACATTAATGATATCAAATTTGCGCTGTGATATGCGAAACGACAAAAGTCAACACTAAAAAATGTTGGTAACCAATATTTATGAGAAGAAATAAATGCACAGAAAAGCCATTCATGATGAACAACAAATGAAAAAACGAAAATCATACAGTGGGGGCCAGCATAGATGTGATAGGCAAGTTTTACATAAATAAAAGATGGCGTTTAAGCATATCCTTAAAAAGTAAATGAGTTGGGTGCATGAAGAGGCAGTGATAATATATCGTACAGACACCCACGATGAATAAAGAATGCAAAAAGTGTGAATGAACATTCAAGAGGTCACACAAGCACACATGAACACGCGACCATACTTTCCAGCGGTCCTCGAAAGTGTGACATTTTGATTGAATTTGGGGACATAAAATGTCACATTAGACAAGTAGATTTTTCTGAACCAGAACAATCAAATGAATCAGAGCAGTCCTTAAAGCAAGGATGCCATAACGCCGCTACGCCGCAGACTTCCTCCCCAAGCAAGCTTCAATGCTTAAAAGTGGTTGCCAAAGCAGACATACTTAAGTTGATCAGGTTTAGTCAGCGAAAGAGAGAACGCACCTTCAGGTTCAGTGTCAGCGAGCTTACTGAGACCCAGCTTTGAGATAATGTACCGAGGCACATCAGGACAGAAGATTTTATTGGAGTCACTTTGCTGTCTGACTTGGTTTTCAGCGACCTCAAGCATTTGGTAGAATTCACAGGGATCGAACTCGAGGCATTCCAGCAGGCGAGCCGGCCGAGCAATAATCAGCAGCAGCCGGTTGCACATGTTGGTCACACAAGCTACCGAATCCGGACACTTGGCGCGCGTCTGGGGCGTTAAAAGCATTAGAATTTGCCTATTTTATACATGGAAACCAAACGGTTAAAAAAACCTGGTGGGCTGGAGGATACGTCAAGTGAATTGCTACACCCTAATGTGCTACGATAACAAAGGTCGGAGGCGAGAAAAAGCGGCTAAGGTTTATGATGAGTTTTAGACTAGATGAGAAGGAAATTACATCAGTAACGAGTTTTTCCAGCTTCTCCGTTATTTCGAAGAAGTATCGACACGTAATAAGACCAGCAAGTGCCTTCTCGCGGCAGTCACGTGCCAGTTCCAACACCTGTCTATGCATAAACCGTGCCACTGCCGTCCACGAAAACGTATCCTCATGCTCCATTTCTTCACACAGGTGCGCCAGATTCTCTTGCATTTGTGCTGCTGCCTGTGAAAAACCAAGACACATTAATTATAAAATATTTGCTATTTTAAACAATAGGTGAAATCGCGTACAAATAAGCAGTCACTACCCGCCAATGAAAAAAAAAATTTTTCGTGCAATAAACACCGCAAAATGTTAATTCAATGCGCTGCCAAAGTCAGGACGGCTATAAATAATGCTCTAACAGCGGACAAAAGTGAAGACGGCTAATCGAGACTTTGCAATAATTAATTTAGCGAGTTTTCCTGTACACCAAGTTAGACGAAATTAAGTTAGTCAAACGAAATTTGCATGTAGAGGGAAAATTCTCATGACAAAACTGGTTTGGGTTTGGGACATATAAGTGTAAGCGTTTATAAGATTACCAAGGTGAAACGAAGGCCTTTGGTGTACCATGAACTACCGCAGTGAGAATGATTGTTCCAAGTTACCATTTCACTTACCTTGGGGAAGCGCTCACGATAGACATGATTGAGCAGAAGTATATCCTGCTCATTGTTGGCCGTAGATCGTACAGGGCTAAAGAAAATCAAAAAGCTCATATTTTTAGAAAGAAATAAGGCATCAATGGCAATAGCAGTAGGTTTAAACTTAAACTGAAGGTGAAAAACACCACAACCGTTATAGTCGCAAAAGTTGACTAAGGGATTTACAACAAACATTGTGATGGGTAAAAACTGACAAAGCATTACTTAGAGTGAGGCCTATTTCAAAAAATCGCTTAGTTCTAGACACCTAGTCTTCAGATAAATGAAAAGCTGAGATAACCACACTCTAGAAACCAACTACAAGGCAAATGAGTGGATGTACACACACACCTCAGACTCTTGGATCTCTGCCGACTGATGGAGAGGAAAGCTGGCGGATTGTGGATCGGTGGCTGAGATGGGGAGAGTGAGGCCCCAGTTCTAGCCATTTTGGTCCAGGGAGGTACAGGAGAATCCGACTCGGGGAGGTGCGGTGGGGGTGCCAGTGCCTGTGGTTGGTGTGGTAGTGAGGCTGAAGGTGGCGGTGTCTTCCCCTTTCCTGCCTTCGCGCATTTACCGCAGAGCTGAGGAGAGGGTGTGCCCCGCTTGATGGGGATGCCCGTAGCGGAGATGGAGGAGTCCTCGACAAGGTCCGCAGAGAGGGCAGCGGGCCCAAGAGTGAGGCGAGCGACGCTACCCGCAGGGCGGGTGACTGGAGCAAAGGCGGGTTGTTGAGGCTTGGGATGAAGCTGAGGTCGCAGAGTGGGTGGGTCACGTTTCGTGAAGGGCGAGGCGGACTCGCCTACCATGTTCACTGGACTGGCCGCGAAAAAGACGGTGGGAGCAGCGGTGGCTGCAGTAGGCGTACCGCCCACCCAAGGATTACAGTGGAGGCCCGAGTGACGATGTCCACCCTCTATGTTCTCCCTCGAGGAATAGTGGCTCTGAAAAGAAAATTACCCCCTCAAGCACATACCATGTGTTTAGTTAGTAGCCTCGCATTCGCACAGCCAACGTCTCGTGGGTCAATACTCACTCTCAGATTAAATGATGCAGTGAAATACTGCAGCAGAGGACAAACGCCACGTGAACACTATTGTAAAGCGGGGAATAGTAGCATTATCATACCCGAATCTCCGGGGCAATATTTATACTTAACTCAATTAAGTAATTTAGAAGTAGGCATCTCTAATTTATAACTCTAGCCATAGCACTACTCAATGCATTTTTTATCGTTTTTTATGGATGAACTTCGACAAATAGACGAATTCAATTGCACCATCTTTCAGTCAACTGGGGGTAGGTTCAAAAGAGCCTACATACTCAAGAGTGATCAGCACATTTTCTAAGCTACAGTGAGGAAAGTAGTCAATTTAGGATGTGCCAACACAATTCGTAGCGCAATGAACAGAAATTCATACAGAATCGCAAATAATTAAGTTAAACATTCTGATGGTAAGAAAAACAAAGGCTGCGATTCGCGCGTGCCAACCCTACATGGATCGCTTCAATGTAAAGTCATGTTGCAAAATATAAAAAACAAATGCTCAAAAAATTGGCATTAAAAAGCGCTCCACGTGAAATAGGTACACAGGATCGAAGAAGAGAAAGAAGTGTGGTGAAACCAACACTAACATTGAGTGATGGACCAATAGAACGAGTTTAGAAGCGAGCAAGAACGTGACAGCAATGTGTGGATTTCTCTATACAAAAAATCATTCTGGTGGGCCTGAGCACTTTAGTTTAGAAAAGCAATTGAAAATAATGCAGGTACAAATGAAATAATAAACGGTAGAATGATTTTACTGAAAGGGAAGAACCAAGAAGTGGGGCCCCACACAAAACTGAAACCGACACCTCAGTGCAAATATGGGATTTCACACAGAAGCACACCCAAGTAATGAAATGTGCCCTCCATGAAAGAACATATTTTAGTCACTTGAACTGGACCGTCAAACTAAAGCATGGGCAATTGCTCTCTGTGAAATGAGAGTAAATCAATTATGAGTACTGATGGACAGAAGCGTATACAAGAGGAAGACAAATGACAATGCAATTGTACTATTGCATGGAGCCGTCGCTTCAAATTACTAAAATTCTAAACAGAAATCGGAAAAAAATTGCTACGTAGGGGAAGTGCATTCATACCGACAGTTGTGGATATTACTTTGCGAATCCACAAAGGAGAGGAATCCTTAAAGTCACTGAACACGCCCCCATGGACAGGTGCCTTGCAATTAAATTAATCATAAATGGAGGGCATAGAAACAGTTGATAACAAGATCATCTTAAAATAAACTGAAAGGATAATGAAGTTTGGGCTGTGGTTCATGTCAAACATGCAACACGAATGTGGTACACAAATTACAACGTTAGCGTTTCCACACTAAGGCATGTGACTCTTCCAAAGGCTAGCATCGCCGCACGTAGGTTTATCAGTCAAAACTGAATGAACTATTAATAAAATATAGCTTTTACCTCCTTCATTTTCTCCCAACCAAGAGGTAGTAGAATATTAACAAGCGCAGAAAAACCCGAAAATGGGAAAGGGTTAACCAAATGAAAACACGAAAGGTCCATTTTCAAACTAGACAGACAATGAACCCCAGCAGCAGGTGACCTAAATATGGATCTCAAGAACTGGAAGAGAATAGACAAAATACAAAATGAATAAATAACATACTGAAACATTGCTTGAACCCGCAGTGTTGGTCCCATAACCGGAAGAAGGCAGTGAGGCCAGAGACCACCTTCGATTTTCCGAGGATCTAAAACCCACCAAAAAGATGTCACTTGAAAAAAGGAGACCGCGTGTGCGAGTGTATGGTTGTAGAAAAAAACGTGTGAGCAATGTTATGTGCACGCACGTGCTCCACTTTGAGAAAAAAAATAAATTGATGGTAGAAAAGAATAAACCTACACTACCAATCAAGCATTAATCACATTTACACTAAGTAAAAGTTATAAAAATGTACCCCTTTGCACGGTTTCGGGAAACCAGACAAAGATGACGTACACTCGCTAGGTAATAGATCAACGATAACAATCCCCAAAACCAAGCAGCAAAATTCGTAAACAACAGTTGCATTCAAAGCTTGGTACAACTAAGCAGAATGTGAAGAACCATATTCGACTCAAGAAACTCATGATTAATCGGATTTGAATAAAGCTTTCACGGTAGGACTGCGTGAACACAAAAGTAACCTAGCGACGATTAACAGATGAGTAATGCACAGAGGGTGTAAGAAGGTGCTTACTGAAGTGATTCCAAACGAAGGTGGGCAGGGAGGTTGTGTGGTGCATTGCGAAGAGGTGCTTGCCCCATCTCCGAAAGAGAAGTCCCACCTGAAGCAAAATTGAGACAACACTGGGGAAAAACGACACCTCAAGGATTCAAAATGCGACTCTAAAACCATCCAGCTAGAAAGCAAAACTCAATATTTTGAAATAAATGGGAATATAATTTGAATAATATCATGAAAAAGTAGACAAAATGAATCCGTTTATTTTCAAAATAACCCCCAAACACCCAACCAAGCACCTAGTGATTTGGCATTGGCTTTTTAGCAAATAGGAACAAAACAACTTGCTTCACTCTGTAACAAAGGCATGGGGAAGAAGAAAACCAAAACGGAATTTAAAGCATAGGTAGATACTTTCTTGACAAATTAGTTACCAGCCAACCCGGGGAATATATAGATCAGTGCAACAAAAGTGCGCATGCACAAAATCCGCAGTCAAGTTCCTGTCTTTTAGCTGGGAGGAAGTGGCGGAAAATAGATGCAGCGAAGGCACGCAAGCAATTCAAAAACGGCGACAAAGAAGAGTAAACTCACATTGGTAGCAGACACCGACAGCACCGGTACTGTTACCACGATTTGGAAACGAGGATCGCTCTTTGTTGGGAGGCGCTATAACTGCACTTGGTGAGAGTTGTGTTGTGACGGCTGCCTCTTCGACAGGGATCATGCGTAGTTCCCCCATGGCAGTGGCAAGTGCTGAGGGCTCGGCTGGGACGGGTGGTCGTACAGTGGGCGCCGTGAAACGGGGGATCGGGCTAGCGGGTCCCGCCGAGAAAGCAGAGCCTAAGCGCGAAGATGCGTTCGCCGGACGAACGGGACTCACTTCCATGGGTACTATGGAGGTGGTAGCTGGTGGCACCGTAGCCGCAGGGGACAAGGAGTCACCACCGCTGAGGAAGCGAGATCGCGTGTGGCCTGAGTGATGTTGGGGGGAGCTACATGCCACTTTTAGACGCTGGGCGGATGAGTGTGAGGAGGTGGTGGCGGAGTTAGCAGAGATAACATCGGGTACTGTTCTGTTAAGATCTTGCAGACCGGAGATAGAAGCATTTGCACCAGCGTAGGCGTCACAATAGTTACTTTCACGCTAAGAGGAAAAGAGGGATATGAAGGTTGTTATTAAAAGTTGACAGGCAAATATTATGGAAAGCAACCGTTTTAACGAAGGTGAATTTCCACGACTCAAGTATTTTCACAGCTCTTCTACCTTAATTTCATCAAAATAGCTGCATTTAGGCGAGTTATGAATGTAGGCAATGAGGCAAATTTTCAAAATAAATAGTTGCACATTTCGAAATACGAGTCAGCATTGTATACTCAGGATTCACAAAAAAAAAATGCAGAGAGACATGTAAACCTTGCCCACGCACAGGATTCAAATATTGCTAAAGATTGCCATGATAGTAATCTACAAGTTCATGAAAATATTTATGCACATGCGTAGTTCTTAATTAATCGAGGCGCCAGAGAGGGTACAGACGAGCATATTTCAAATCAGATTTTCACTGCAAATCGACGTTCTTAAATATCCTTTCACAATAACGGTCCCACTAATGCCAAAAAAACTGAACGATTGAGTCATGAGAATACAAGGATCAGCTGCAAACACATATGGAGAAGCTTTAGTGTAAATTGCAAAATCCACAAACCGCAAACTCAACATACGCGCAGAAAAGTAAGATGTATAATCGTGAGTCAGCACTCCGAAAACCGAATAAAAGAGCTAAGATGGAAAACAAGAGGCTAAACGGAACAATTACTGGGCCAGCGACTTCATCCACACAACGAATATTACATTTGCATATGAATTCCCAGAAATCGGCTGCCCACATTTAGTGTAGGCGATAGTAACGACACTAAGAAGTATCGAACGGTGGCACCATCTCTATCCAAAAACAAAACTAGTTGTGTTAAAAGGAAATGCCAAGATAAGTAAACAATGTCAATTTAACAAATACCGCCGAGAAATCAACAATTTACAGTTTTAAAGTGGAAAATGTACGGCGAATTTGTAGTAAATCGGTTAGATAAGCACTTATAAATATAAAACAAAACATAAAACTAGCAGGTGGGACTAACGGCTTGAACAGATCGCGCATTTTACAATAGAATACAGTCCGGAGTGCTTTTGAAGATTGCAGTCAAAAAAACAGAGTTAATAGCGTAATTATTACTCTCAACATAGACTTCGACCACAGTCACAGAAAGTCAATTCCCAAAAGTATTTAGCCAAACAAGATGGAACCGCATCATTAAGAGGTCAGACCGATACAAAAGCCTGAACAGAAAATCTCAAATGTCCAGATGCCATGGTTTTAAAAGGTTATAAATTGAGGTGAAAATATGGTCAATGGACGTACGCAACCAGAGAAGAGATTGGGTGCTGACTGACCCATACAGGCTCGTCTCATCCTAAGAAGATTGCTCCCCATTGAATGATCTGCTATAAAGCAATCAACGCTAAGTAAATTACCAATAAATTTTCCCACTGCAGAAATATGATAAGT